AAGTAAGAGACGAACGTGCAGTACCGCCCGCGGGAGATTTCTGCATTTGGGAATGTTAAACCGTCTCTGTGTCGCGGGAACGTTTCTTCAGGGAAGAAACCTCTCGCGGATAATTATGTATTATGTAGGCACGTTTAATTACTCGCAAACACAAACAAAGCGGCACACACATGCACACACTCGTTCCACACACTCAAGATTTTTCACTCAGATATCGTAAATCTCATAAACGAGATAATTATAATGAATCGTTTGCTCTTACCACTTTTCTTGGACTCGAGTGACTTACGACGAGTGACAGTAAAGTATGAAGATGCATTAATAAAACTTTAATTAACTAACATTCCATTTGATATTACTTTGTCTCTACATACAGAGATTTATTTGTAAAATTTATCCTAAGCACAAATTTATAGAAAGAAATATTTATTTTAAAGAAATTATGTTTTAAATTTAAAAAAAAGGCACAGATATTCAAATTACAGAACTCAATCTTGCACGGAAAGACTAATTTTGCTAAAATATCTAAGAATTTAGTTAGATACAAATCTAAAAATAATTCAGTTGGGCCATCAAAATAATTACGTAAGGAATTCAAACATAAATAAACAATGCTGCAAAAAAAATGTGATATTCAACCAGTTCTACATAATTATTTCTACATAGTTTAATAAAACGATTTTCAGATCTATTTCTAACTAAATTTTTAAATACTTCAGCAAAACCGTTCCGTGTAATTATAGTTGATGTATTCAAATCGAAAGTAATAATTAAGTAACATCCCACTGAAATTAATATTCATTAATTTTACACTAATACCTCCATCTTACATATATATATATATATAGATTTACTCGAAATAACACTATTTATACGACATTATCAGTCTCCTGGAGTAATTAACTCGGCTCGAAAGACATGGCGCCGTAAAAGCGCGAGTTTGAAAGAAAAGTGTATTCGTGCGTTTCGGTGCGCAGCATTCGGTCGTCCATGCAGGACATTCCTGTCAATCAAAAGATCAGGCGCGATGGGAAACGAGCTCTTGGAGAATATAACGCTACCCTCGGGCGCACCCCGGGGGATCGGCGGACGCGATAGCTTGATTTCCGCGTGTGCCAGTTATTCAACGGCGCGGACATTACGTAAACTGACATTTTCGCAGCTAATACGAGCGAGCGAGCGAGCGAGCAAGCATGCGATTCCAGCTCGAGTTAGCAGCGAGTTCTACCGCGATAGCTTTTCCCGCGCCGCAGACCCTCTCGAATGAAAAAACTTTGTCTCAATAAATTGTCCTGTCGCGCGAGACCGCGCAATCAATTCTCCGTCCGGTTGATCTGCAATATTCCTTATTCGTTACGATTACCTGTACTCTAAAAAATATCGGTGTGGTTTTAACACTATGTGGCGTCTACATAATTCTCACCGTATTGCTGTAATACTACATCGACGTGATAGGGATTTATGATCTCTGGTTTTTATACCGGAAGTATATTTATGTAAAACTCACATCATGTTTTGGCATTAATATTAACAACTGTGAGAATTATATAACGCATACTGAAAAAAAAAATACTAAATTTTGATACATATTTCTTTAAATAGTATAAAGCATAATCTTAGAATATTTACTCAATAAAAAATGATAGTTAAATTAATTGAGTTTTTATATCAAATAAATATATGTTTAACATTTACTTAGAAATATTCAAATATATATTTAATTTTTTTTTCAGTGCATTATTAAATTCACACCGAATTTTTTAGAATTTATCGTCGAGCGAAATGACAGATTGAAATATTCTATTAACATTTTTAATCTTGGTAAGAATAAAATTCTTATAAAAGATTTCTGTAAAAAATTCGCTTCAAAGGATATCAACGGATGATTTTAACGCGACTGGACACTAAGAGTAAAATTTTTAATTCGGTGCTCAATTCATTAATTATGAACTTGTTAAATTTTGAATATTAAAAATTATATAATAAGAGGCAAAGTGCAATGACATTTGTGTTTTGACTATCGAAGACCATCCACAAAAGAGAGACAGAGTGCGATATTCAATAACTTCGGACGTATAAAATTAGTTAGCTTGACCAAGTCATGTGTGGTTTTTAAATGTACATCCTCAGTAAAGAGGAGGAAGAGATGCGCAACGATTAATGAGTCAGGTAAACTCACCCACTCTCGACACGACCGCCAGGATCAGCAGCACGCTGCTCACGATTATCATCTTCCCTCGTGGTCGTTGGTCGCTGACGTAGGAATCACGACGTGATATCGGTGGTATCGGTCGAAGACGAAGGGGCGATTGCGGCTATTATCCTCTTCTCTTCTTCACGCGGACTTTCACACACCCCGACCGTACCGAAGGGAGGCGAAACCAGCGCGGGGATTTCAAAATTCGTTCGAGTCCTCGGTGTCTCCGGATCCACCGGACTCGGTTACCCGCGGACTGACCTCGCGCGGGTCGATCGTCACTCCGAATCTCCGTTTTTTTTCTCTTCCTCTTCCTTTTCCTTCCGATAAGCGAGCCTACAAGAGCCGCAGCAGCAATGCAGCGCCGTTATTCAGAACCGCGAATGCGCCATGGACGTCGCAGAACATATGCTACGGTCACGAGGAGAGAAAGGTGACTGCGAGTATATACGCGAGGCGTGCACGATGCCGTCCGTCTTCATGGCATAGTCACCTTTCTAGCAGAGCAAGCAACAAAGAAGGGAGCCTTGGTGCTATACCCACCACCGCGCGCGTTGCCCACCACCTCATCAGTGCGATAAACGTTTGCGATCACCAGGGATGGAGTGGGGACCAGATGGTGGACACTGGTCGTCTTCGACGGTCAAAATCTGCGTCGCTCGAGCTTTTCTTTCAACGTCGCACTGCATTTTAACCCCGAATCCGTTCTCAGTTTCATGTAGCAAAGGGGCTGCGCGATGACGAGGCGATGCATTTCAATCTACGTGATGAGACCAGTTAGAATAGTTTCTTTTTAGAAAGAAGATAGAATCCTTGCTCGTTGCAGAAAGAAATTATGGATTACCGATAATGAAAGCTCGAAGAATGACAGCGCAGAAAAACGTAAGCAGTGAAGTGACTGAACGTAGCAGTAAGCGAATTGGCCAATTACAGTCGAGGCAACTATTTTAAAACTCGCGGTTCTGATTGACCGCGAGTTTTAAAAATGATTCGTTTACTGCTTAAGATTTAGACCATGCTTATGTTTTTCCTGTTGTATGATACAGATAACAATTATAAGTTACAATCAGATAATTATTATACGGAGTTATAATCGTTCATTACGGTATAAATGAAAATGATTAATATTATTTCTTTAAATATATACTATGTTTTTTATATTTTAGAGGATGAATCAACGTCCTCCCAAAATTAGTAAGATCTATAATCACATCACGGGATCTACTACTGAATGATCAATAAAAATAATTATGTTATCTTCAAATAGCTTTCTTTTTGTACAAAACAGTTTATTTTTTTCCCCCATATAAAATGACTAATACTATATCTTATTACCTTACATTATTTTTTTTCCGCAATACGATTATATGGAAAATGTTTAACAGATCGGAACCATCACTTCGTATCGGATAGAATCAAAATATCTATGGTCACTGCATAGGACTTTTTTTCTTTGTACGAAGAATTACGCTTGCCTTCAGTGACCGGTAACGATTGGAACATATTTGATTAGGATTGTTCGCCGAGCAATTAAAGAATAGAGATTCTCCTACCAGTTTCTATATACACCCAGATACTAATTTACATTTATCAATTAATGCAACTCAAGGAAAATCGTAAAGTAGATCAATCATTGGAATTAATGACAACACGAAATTCTGGGTAACAATAAAAATTTCAATTAACTCGCAGTCGCTTTTGATTCTAACGCATAAGCATACTTCCTCAAGTTGCAGAAATATAGGGTGCATAAAAATTATGGAGCTTTTCAATATTTCTCTAAAATGATTACGGAACGCACAATAGAAAAAAAAACGTACCACATATATAAATAACTTTCCGTCTTCAAGACACATGCAGATGCCACATTATTATACAATCCTTTTAACCGAGGGGATTACAAATTATATTTCTCATTATGTAACAATATATCGGTGTAAACGACTAGATATTGTTGCGACGCCTTGATAAAGAAAATTTCTTTTTTTTTCTTGTTTTTCAAGCATGTTCCTGAGAACTCGGCAGTATTTGAATAAATATGTTGAACTGAATGAACATGCTGGTCAGATTCATTAAATGCACTCGTGAACCAATGCGATCAGTAGAACGTGATTACTCATTAAAATGCAGCGTACGCAATAATATGCACATAAATAATTGTGCATGATTAGATAAATTGACAGAATCTCTTCGGATATAAAATTTTATCAACTTTAAATATGTGATATATATATTTTAAAAAGAGATAAAAAGAGTAAAAAGGGAAAAGGGTTAGTAAGGCGACGCTTAAAATTATATCGTATTAAATTAAAATTATTTGATAGCAAGAAAAATTGATAATCGCATTAAACTCTAACATCTTTACAATCATTTTAAATATAAACAGATCTTGCTTGCACTTCGCCTCAATATAAACATCGACTTTCACGTCCTTACTATCAAAGCACTTGACGAAGTCCGCCTTAAAATTTTACAGATTTCTTACGTATCCCGAATCTAAGAAGAATTACATGAAATACATTTATTCAAATAGAAAAACATTCGCAAATCTCTATGATTAAAAATATTGTTATACATACAAATATGATACCTTTTTTGCTTCTGTTTTCCTTTTTAGCTGCAAGATAAATTACGTATGAAAAAACACGCGCGTAAGAAAAATTTGATTTTTCTATCTCTTTTTACATCAAACCGTTCAAACGATTTCAATGTAATATATGAAAAATTCAAGTATTTCTTAAACAACTTTTTCTTTTATTAATAATTACGAAATAATTTGTATGTACATCAATTAAATGCCCGCAGTTAATAATAGCTGCGCAAGACATCGTCAAATTGAAACGGCGTCGTTACGATTCTACAATTTGTACAAAATTACTAGCAAATAAATCGCAGGGATATCACCGTACGTCTCCTGGATAACGGACTTTGATTTGCTGCCCGACAATACCGATAGCCTAATATGGCATAGCACGCAAACGGGCAAACATGTCCCGTACAATTGTATATGCACATTCGCACGGCAAAGACGGTAGATCTGTTTTTTTAGCTATATTTATTGCACTTGTTCATATTATTTCGCTCTTTCCTTTTTCATTTTCTAAAATTATCTACATACATAACTTTTTTGACTCAACTTTTATCGTAAGTGCGCTAAAAAAATAGACCTAGTATCGTACGCAAAGATTTTGCGTTATTTGGCGCGCTTAAAAAATTAAATAATCATGCGTAATCGAGCAGTGTGTACAATTCTAATTACTAACTAATTCAATTTGCCTATACTTCTTGCGCAAATTGCTCACGGAATCTTTGAACAGAACGGGGTCCAATCGCATGTTAGATCGCAACAATGGCATATACCCGAAGACAGCGACAAATGTGTTCATGCATGTTTGTCGCTGTATGAAATGATCCGGGTCGTTCCACGGCGATCTGAAATCCCACGTGAGTCAGAAATCGATAATGATATCGTATATATGGTCTCAACGATACCTACCTAATTCCAGCTACCGTGGTATCTTTGTACAATTTGCGCTGCGTCACTTTGATAGGCGGCCTTCGAGTTACGTGACTCACCAGAAAATTCATGAGTATATCCTCGCAATTCTGCGACTGCTCCACGGTCTTATGGAGAGTCGAGCTTAATAACTCGGTATATAGAGTATTATAATAGCGATGGTAAAAAGCGGCACCGGTGAGAATGATACTGTAGTCGTTTGTCCACTTACTGGTATAACCCCAGGAACGCTACGTACATAAAACCCAGATTAACTCAATTATGAAACAGTTACAGACTAGACGGAAATTACTTAACGCAGACTGCATAATACCTACCTTTGAGTCATCCCAATAGTGAGACCTCGCTGGATACCCTACTATTCGATCGGGAAATGACCGCCAAACCATAAAAGCGAAGTCAATTTCATCGGTATTTAGAGTGGCATCCTCGTCGAGTGACAATATGGCACTAGTTTTGATTAACGGATGAGGATAAAAACGTTGAGATATGCCGTCAACCGCGACAACGTGAATTGACGCTCTGATACCTTGCCAACGTGGTTTTCTTGGCACCGGAATGTCCGAGTTCCACATAAGTATTATCTTAAACAAAATAATTTGTTAGCACAAAGATATATCGCAAAATGCATAACAAACAGAAATAATAAGAAATTAGCAATAAATGAGCTTACCTTATCTAGGTACTTGCTTTTCGCGAGACTCCTAAGTAAACGATAAAGTACGGCGGTGGATCCCAATTGCGAATAGATTATGGCAGTGAAAGTGTTACCAGGATTACTGTTCGAAAAGGGAAGTTCTTGCTGGCTATCAGTGAATTGTGGCAAAATCGCCAGTGCTCCAGGACTAGTATTCCAAACGATTCTCTCCCGCGCACCTTCCCATGGTAAACGCTCGCGAATATTCTAAATTGATAATTACAATTAACGAAAAACTGAAAATAAGGTTCTGATAGCTCATAGTATAAGTAAGAGGCAATTACCTCGAACACGGTAAATACAATTTTTTCAATAGAGGAAAAATATCTCTCCCATAAAAATTGTGTTTGTTGCCGCAGTTTAAGGATTTGTACATTGGACACGGATCGTAATATATCTGGAATCTGTAAAATTCATAAAATTTAATCATCACTTTAAAACAAAGTAACAGTGAAATTAATTCAAAATATGCATTTATGTTCCTTACTTGGAGTAACAATCTCTCGTCAGAAAATATTACAGCCTGATTCCAATCAATACGTTCATGAAAGGGAAGAGCCCAACCATTACTTAAAATGACTGGAATACATCCCGATCTCAGGGCTTCTAGAAACCGAAAGCTACCTAATCGTCGTCCTCGTGGAACCAGACAAAACGTAGCGTTCATTAATAAAATTTCATAGTCATATCTGCAAAATGAAAAATATTAGCAATTATATTTTGAATAATGTCCATATGATTCAAACAATTTCAACGTTTTTGCTACTTACGTATCATATTCTTGATTATCCTGCTGACAATGTTCGTCTTGGAATTCTCTCCAGGTCTTCCCATGACGGCAAGTTGTAACAAATACCAAATCTTTACCATTGTGCAGATGATAGAGAGCGTTTCTTGTCTCGGATCCAATGCCATGTACATATCGTTTTCCCTTAAAAGCTGCCACATACTTTTTATTATTAGGAAAATTATTTTCTAACGCTTGGCCGGATTCTCCACCACGTTCCGAATGTTGTTTACCAAACAGAGGTATTGACACATCAAAGTCAGGTCTGTGTTTAAAAATGGACATACTGGCCTTAGCAAGCATAGCATAACCCACGTCGAAAGCCAGCGATTCTTCAGCATAATCGGGCCATGTACCAGAATATAAGTTAAATATCAGATGATTCCTTCCGTTATTCCAATATGGTAGGTGTAATAATTTCAAGGGAAGATTGTGTACAAATTCAGTCGATAAGGGATCTCTATCTAACGTATCCAGGGCTAAGACAAATATACATGCCCGTGCTGGGTCCGACGTGTAATATCTCGACTCCGTGATAACATTTAATATTTTTTGGTATAGTGGACTTATCACATCCTCGACTGGGTAAACATACACGGTGAAACCTTGCTTACATCTTGTAAAGTCGAAGCAAGTTTCCATGCGGCAATACCGTGTACGCTGAGACATGACCAAAGCCCCGCTGGATGTCTTTAAATCTTTGTCATAGAACTCTTCATTTAGACTTAAATATGAAGGCAATCGCTCATAAGGCAACTGAGATCTGCCTGTCCATTTTTCGCTTTTTAAACGATATCCACCGAAATAGCAATAACCAAGAAACGCACATGTTACAAATAATAATAGATAGCGTTTCTTGGCTTGCATTTTCAATACAGTCAGGTTATACAAAGATATATGATAGTTCTAAGCATTATTTACTCCGATGTAAAAGGTCTATATTCAGTCACAAACACATTGTAACAGTTACTATATTATCTCAGAAATTTCTCCAGGATATAATCATACTGGTTCTTTCATATTGCTGTAACAAAACAAAGATTCTACGTGTCAATTATAAATAATTTTTCATTAAAAATGGCAAAAATATATTTACAACAAAAGTCAGGAAAAATATTTTACTACTAAATTTAAAGAATATTTAAATAATAAACTTAACAAAAATTTAAAAAGGAATTACATATGTTACTAAGAGAACACTTGTTATCATAGTGACACATCATCTTGATAAACGCATATCTGATATTACACAATTCTCTCCATTCCAATAAAATTAAACAGAAAAAAATTCAGAAATTTAGATGAAAAGTGAACTCTCGCGAAGAAAAGTTATCACCTGTTCGAAACTAAGACAGAAGGTAGCTATTGATAGAAAGAGCTGCTCGATCCTCACAAGATGCATGATGGATCGGGATGATATATAAATTCGTCGACAAAATTTTATCGATGGTGCACACAACGCAATGACAGATCGTGCAAATAGGTACTACGAATCTGTGACGACGATTCGGTCGATTCTCCAGTCGACTTGAGATAACCTATAAGCCGCGCGAACCAAATCCCACGCGATCGGCGATCTCACCGTAATTCCACGTCGCGATCAGATCAGATTAAATGGCACGCGCAACTCATAATGATATCCTACGCGATACCCGTCTTACGACACGGTCACGTATCGCCGACGCGACGGCATCACCATCATTCTTCTAGGTTATCTACGGCGCACAGCAATTCCGTCAAGCCCGGCGGCGACTTTACGCCCACTCGCATTTCGGGCCGATGCCGGACGGACACGCGTGGCATCGATCGCCGAGCGCCCACGAGTGCAAAATCATTGCACGCCGCGGCGCATTGAAATAATTGCTCTAAAAAAGCAAACGCGAACAGTGCCGTGACGTCGCGGACGATTAGTAGTAGACTGGCACACCGCCTACCGTCCTGTAACTTACTTCACGTCACGCTCGCGAGCTCGCGACTCGCAAGAACGGCGGCAACTCATAAACAGCGGCGAACCTCACGATGCATCGCGTCGCGGCGCAGAAAATTACTTTGCTAATTAACGAACGAATGTGCATATGTATATGTAATAATAAAAACTTAATGACAGAATTTTCATATTTATGTGTTTGTTTTACATAATGATTTATGTAAAGTTCATTATATAATCATTTATATAATACATAATGTTTACGTGTTTGTGTGCGTTCGCAAAAATGATTACATTTATGCACAATATTACATGTGTGTTCAAAAATTTTATTGTGTAATTATTTTATTAAAATTTTACATAAATATGTAGATACGCGAAAACTGTATTATTTATTTTGAAATAATTTCTAGCATAGAAAGAGAATTGTGAATGTTTTTAAAACTCTGCTTTTGTATGCAGCTTTTACATTTTGCATAATTTGCAACTTTGCACGCATGTGCAGATATTACACAATGTGTCGAGTATGCATTTTATTCTTGTCAATAATGTTCGAAATATCATTCTATAAGTTTTCGTAAGTCGTTGAAAAATATTAGAAAGAAACTTTAATAAGCAAATAGTAAGGCAAAGCAATAAAATTTTACTTAAAGATTAGGAGAGTCACAGAAAAATTAATATTCTATTTTTTTACTCTTTTGATTACTAATTTTTAGATTTATAGATATTTAAAGAAAAAGTGTTTCAATATTTTATTTAACTATTTAATAACTGATGATATCCATCAATTATTGATGAAATATCATTAGTTTCTGAATAGTTATCATTATAGTGAAACACTTTTTTCTAGGGATACTAATTTAGATATTTAATTACTAATTTATAGATTTATAGATATTTAATTACTAATTTATAGAATCTATATTAGAATCATTGTTGGAACGTATCATCGATTATTAGTAATATTATTCGAAGTTAGATATAACACCTTATTAATAATCAAACAAATGTAAATCGATGTTCCAAACTGGAATAGTCGGTATATCTTTATCGATCGACTCCCAATTTCTGACCAACTTTGAACTTTATAAACTTGCAGAATGTAATATACAGTTTGTAGCGAGAGAGAATTTCCGTGGGAGTGCAAAGCACGTTTCTTGGAACTAGGAAGAATGTAATACTCCATCGAGTCATACAAAGAGCTTTCGAATCGAGTCAACAATGAATTCACAATCAAATGTAAGACGTCAGCTAAAACAAGAGGACAAACCAACTGGAGATGTTATACATATATACACATTTAATGTCGATCAATTCTTGGCGTAATTCATTATTATTGGTATTGATAATTATAACTTTTATGCATACATGGAAAGAACGATTTTGGTATCTAAAAATTTATAGATCTGAAACTAATTTTGTTAAAACAAAATAATGCAGGAATCTCAAGCACGTAACGTTGCAAACTTTTGACATTCCAGCAACCAGTTTGGGCGACCTACATAATTATTTTGATTCAACCAAATGATTTTCAAATCTGTATAAAATATCTAGGTAAGTAGCAAAATAGCTCGAGCAAATCGTCCTTTCTATGTAGAGGAACGATTATTCTTGTCAATATCTGCGCTAAACTCTATATGCACTATGGTGGTGTCGCAGTGATGCATAAGGCGGCCCGTTGTTCGTAGAAGCGGATGTGGACGATTTGCAATTTAATAACCATTTCTCGTTAGCGCGTCGGAGCGAATCGCGAACAAGTTCGAACGATTTCGGATGCATGCCGACGCGCGATTGGCTCGCGAGAGTTCTAATTGACTACTTACTCGTGAAGACGATCAGCTCATGAAATCGATCGAATCGGTGGCTCATCCCTTATACGGTGTCCGTCATTCCTTCACTCACGAGTAATACTCTCGTGAAAATTATTTAAACGTCACGAAAGAGCAGCGCGGGAATCAATGAATCGAACAAAATAAATTAGAGATTAGCACCCTTCGATGTCACTATGGATATAATAAGTCCTATTTCTTTTATTTTATACGTTATAATTTCTTTATTAACTCTAGAATGCTATCTCTATTGAGTGATATTACTATCAATAATTTTTTATGTACAAAAAAAAGGATGCTCTTAATTAACATAATATATCAAGTTTTTTTTATTACATTTCATACTTTTAGTGACAAAATATTTATAATCTAGATTTTTGTAGACACAAAGATTATTACATTTTATTATTAAGGAAAGGAAAGAAAAAATAAGCACATTATTTATTAAATTCAATGTTGAAATAATACGGAATGTATATAGTTCAATTATATGTATGTGTGTTTCCTCTTAACATTCAAATAAAATATATATAACACAAAGTTATAACACAAAACTATTTTTAAAAAATTGAACTCACTTATCATTGATATAATATTGACCACTTGGCAGTCCAAACCGACGTGTATTTGTGTGTATATAACGGAGAGAATTTTTAAAATCATGTCTCCGTTTATTCTACCTTTTAGCAGATATTAGCTCTCCTAATGATCACTGAAGGCATAACTTAACGCTCAATAAGCTCAATAAGCTCGCTCACTTGTACGTAAAATTTATCGTATCGATAGTATTTTAAGGTTAATAAAGGGTGCTTTTTAGCAAAAAAGGCACAGATGACTACACGATAGTGTAACACACATTCTACAATAAGCCAATAAAGAAATCAGAAGCTAGAAAATGATCAATCATAGAAAATTATTTTTTTTTTACATTTAACTGTGATTGGCCAATTTTTTTAGCTTCCGATTTATTACTAATGGCTTATTGCAGAATAGTCATAATAATAATAAATTATTATATCTTAGCGTTTGCTATATTAATGAATATTAATGAAAAATGAATGATCGCTATGTTGCACTGTTATGTTTCTTGCTGAAAACCACCAATTAATATTATATTCACTCATTATCTTTATATTCCTTAATATCTCGTTTGTTAAAAATAAGTTGTTATAATATATTCATTTTTATATTTTTAAACAATATGCAGTATATTATATGTAACACGTAGTATGTGATACCGAAGGGTTAAAAGGTCGAAAGAAATAAATAACTTCACACTTCACACAGCATGAGAATAAAAGTTAAAAAAAAATTAAAGTAAAAATACTTCCGGCAACAGACTGACGCGGACGCGACGATCCGATATCGATTCGTGAGTTTAAATGTTCCTCTATTCAAACTCATTCAGAGAGGCTCATCTTCCCGATACCGATCGTGCAGCACTGAATTGTGTTCCTTGACGAGTGGACGTCAAGGCATCGGAATTATGAAATCCTTACCTTGACCACACAAGGCGCGATCGTTTCTCGGCACACATTATATACATATTTATATGCAATCGTATATTGCTCAATGTTCGCGAAGTAAACTTTTTTTTTACTGGCCGCGCGAGGAATTTGTACCCTATTGTTATGCATATGCGAATGTTGATTTTTCGTGTAACGAGACTCTTTTCGCATTGGTGGAATCCTCGCGCGATCTTCCTGGACTCGAATGAGAGAGAAATAATGAACGCTATTGATTTTGTTATCAAATGCTTAATTGTCACGATAAAAATTAACATCTGGATGTATGCAAGCTCAAGCCTCGTCCTGAATGTTATCTAATATGCGTCAGAGTATGTCGTTAATTGAACAGTCATGTTGGAATATTTTTAATTAAAAAAACTGTTACAAAAAGAAAACTTATATTACAGTTAATAGTAAATTATATATGTATCATATTATCGATAACCTTCTGTGATCTTACAAAAAATCGTATTCATGTCAGAAGTCAATTATATGGAATTCACGATTTCCGTGAATTCAAATGCGTCAACATTATTTGTAAATGAGGTAATTATAAAATCTTTGAAAAATTATTTATGCAATCATACCCAGCAAATGAGAATGGATTGAAATAAATTGGAATGGATTCAGATTTTCAGAAATATTAATTCACGAATGTTAAAATGAATGCTTTTCAATTCTGAATGCATTTTTATTCATTTATAGGAATTACATAGAGCATATCTCTATCTCTTTCAATCTAAAAATAATATTAATATAGCTTTCTCTATGCGCGCACACACACACACACACACACACATACAAACACACACACACACACACACACACACACAAACACACACACACTCATACAAACACACACACACACACATACAAACACACACAGACACACACACACACACACACACACAAAATATGAATAGTGTTCCAATCAAAATTTTGAATAGGAAATGCAGTTTTTCAATTCAATTGCATCCATTTGATTAAATCCAATTGAATCCAGTTAAATCCAAAAAAAGTATTCGCTATTTAAAATACGCATTCGGATAGAAAAAGCTAATATTATTTTTAAATTGAAAGACATAGAGATATGCTCCATGCAATTCCTATAAATGAATAAAAATACATTCAGGAAAAGCATTTATTTTAACATTCGTGAATCAATATTTTTGAAAATCTGAATCCATTTCAATTCATTTTAATCCATTCTTGTTTGCCGAGTGCATATACAAATTTTGCTACAAGCAATTCTGAACTAATTCTTTTAAATTAGTAATCATCGATGTAAAGTTAATCAATATTTAATCATTTCTAGGCATATATTATGGAATTGTTCAAAATGGATTCCGAATTGATTCGGAATTGTTCAATTATTTCCTAAATTTCTATTGTATTTTTAGGGAAACGGAATAATTCTGATTCATTTTAAACGAGATCCATTTTAAACACAACATACATGATACGTATTTTTAAGATATTATGCACGAAACGTATTATGAAAATCTTTGGAAAAGATTATTACAGCCGCAAAACAAAGTTGCTAAACTAGATTCGTAATGAATCAAAGATAAAACAGGAATTGACATTGTCGACGAATTCATGAGTCCAACAGAATTTGTTTTTCATTCTCGTATTCTTCAACCGATGGCGACG